ATGAAAAATGTTTTATTGAATGTCCCAAATGATTTTTACCCCCTTAAATTGATTATTTTGGAAAATTTGAGAAAATAAATGTGAAAGGTTAATGTAGTATGCTTTTACAAAATATTCTATCTGACTGAAAAGTTATAAAATTTCTTTTGAAAAGTATGTCTATCCTTCTCAAAAGTTTCTTTGATACTTGTGAGAAGTACTTCCTTGCTTTTCAGAAATATTTCCGTAATTTTTATTCCTACTCGATGTATTCGTTTTTTGTCGTTTTTACTGAATATTTGATGTGGTGGGGGTGGGGAGGGGCGCTTTGTACTACTTCACAATAAAAAGAATGACAAAAAAATAAAATTCGGTCGGTTTTCGATCGAAAAAATTGAGAGAAAAAAACATTGCAAGGTTTTTATTTTCTTGAGTTTTTGTTCTGATCTAAAATTATTGATCGTTGGATTTTGAGCAGGGGGTTTCAAGGAGTGTAAGAATAGAGGGGGGAAAGAATATCATTTCTGATCGAGATTTGCCAATTTTAAAAGATACTAAATTCATCAGATTTCGAGAATTTCGAGATGTTTTGAGATCAATCTCCTTTTTATACTAGGATGAATGCAGGAATCTCGCATAGCAGCACATACTTTTCTTTGTCTGTCTGTTGCTATCGATTTTTTGATTGATTTTGTATAATAATTTTTTTTTATATGTCCATAAATAATGGTAATAGAGGCGCGGGGCGCGCCTCAAATGCTAGGTGATTAAAATATTGAATGACATTGTGAATTCCCAATGTCACTTTCATTGAAAACTCATAAACTTTGTAGACTTTTTTTTCTCATATTTTTTACAAGAAATAAATAAAAAATCTGTTCTAATTTTGTTTTGTTGTTCATTTCTTATTATTCACTGGTTGGCAACTGTCTTCAGATTTCTCTGAATGAATAAAAAAACGATATATATTTTTAAACATAGCAGAAATAATTCAAACATAATTACGAATCATCATGCCGTATAAATAAACCGAAGATACTGTCTAAAGCAGAAAATAAGAGGAAGAAGAGTCTCGGTGAAGAGATTTACATGGTATGAAGGTACAGAAGAGTGACGAGAAATTAATGTTGGCAAGCAGGAGGCTATGGCTCCTGGCAACCCGCTGGTACCCTCTCGTTTCCACCTACTGCTTATTCGCTTCGCTATGAAAAACCCGCCAATTCAACGTTCAGAGAGTGTATATATATACTGTATTTTCCTTTTTCACAACAGCAAAAATAAAGAAAATTCATAAAAACAACAAGCAAAAGAAAAATAACTCTCTACCGCTTAAGAGTATATTCACGCCCTGTCTCTTATTTCAGGTTCTTCTTTACTTCAGTTACTTCAGTTAACTTGATATAAACTTGACATCAGATACAAACGCCTATTCACTCTATTATATTTTATTCATTTTCTTAGCAGCTAAATCAAGGCGCCTTCGAAGATTACTCAGTATAGATATGCTGGAAATGGTCGGATCCTGAGAATTAATACATTAAAACAACTTTTAAATGTCTTTTTCACGTTTTCCTTCTCAAATGGAGACTATTTTTGCAGATATTTTTTGTATTATAGTCCGTAATATACATTTTTGTAATTTTATACACTTAAAGATTGATTACAAATAATTCTCACTATTGTTCTGTCTTTCGATTATAAGTATTGTCTTCGTGAAATTCTTAATTTCCGATTTTTAGCGATAATATAATTGAATCCAGTTAGAGTTTACTCAAAAATAAGTCGAACTCTAATCGTAGCTTACTCGGAGTTCAGTTGGATTTTATTCGCAGTGGAATTTAGATTAAGTCGAGATATATTTAGGCGGATGTTTCGCTGAAGTTTAATGAGCTCTATACAAAGCTTGACCAACTAATGACTAACCTCGAAATTAACTTTTCTAAAATCCCAGATGGTCTTTTGATTTAATTAAAAAGTGTAGACCATAGCCAATTATAATCTTAATGGTACCTAATCTTCTAATGATTTTAATCCAATCGGTAGCATATTGCTAGTTCATTAGCAATGAAACTATATACCTAGAGTGAGAAAAAAGACTATAACCGTTTTTTGATTTACTTCTCCTACTAATAATTTCTTTAAGTTTTTCATTGGAAGGAAATACGGTAATTGAATTTTTCTTGTAATAATCGGCCAAGATGTATCATGTAAAGCGGTAGTTATGGCTCGTGCGTGGAGTGCGTGCGAAATCTCTTTCAGCGATTGGTAAACATCACCGGTACCAGTAGAGAACTTCGTGAATATTCATAAACGATAATCTGTTGGTAGGTTCCTCTCTCTATTCAATTGGCTTTTACTGGCTTGCTTTAACTTCGGGTGGGGTTTCTCGACGTAGCACGAGGTTGGCTCGAGCATTTCCCTAACGGCAGACTCCGGGTGCCCCGAATAAATCTTCTAGATGAGATAAATGGTCCGGTTTATTCTTTTTGATCAATTGCTTTTTGTTGAATTATGCGGTCGCACTACATGAGTCCACGACTTGTTCGACGAGGTTGTTAAACGTTGGATGATTTTATAATTTATGAGAATATAGCCGGAATATGGAAATTGTTAGATTGGATGGGGGAGAACGTATTTGGAAATCAATCTGTAGAAATATGCAAAGATTTGATAAGATATTTTTCCATGAGGTTAAGAATGAATGGGTGACAAGAACACTGAATAAATATAGTAAATTCAATGAAAAATTTTCTCTATGTCATGGCATCATCATTGCATTACAATGCTCTTTTCGGCACTGCCAGCTGATCGACGACATATGGAATTACTTTTTTTTACGGTACAACTTTTAGGGTCTCTAAAATTTTTAACCAATAAAAAAAATTCTTTAAATTGGCTACATTTTTTCAATATCCTTCTCTCGACAGTTTGTCCGTGAAAGAAAACGTGTATGAAATTGAAAAAAAAATCAGGACAATAAATTAATCGACTAATGGTGTAGAACTGATTTAAAACAAATTTTTCGTAAATTGTACTCCAAATTTATCAGTTTTGTCAATATTTACGCTACTACACTACACTATGTACACTATATATTACACACTACACATGAAAAATTGCTATAAATGTTAAAAATACCGTTAAATTGAGTAGAACATACTACGATTTTGATTGCAATAGAAGATAATTAAAAAATCACAGGATATCCGCAGGAGAATTGATTTTCACGAAAGCTAATGAGTTCTTCAAAATTGCATAAGATACATTCCCATCCCTCCAATGAATACCATCGTTCAGCGAAAGATTTTTAAGAATAGGGCCTGGAAAGGGTACTTGGTTTTAGTATGGGTTATCGATAAATAAATTTTCAATTTATTTTCGGTCAATACTCACTCACTCAATTTTCGGAAATAGACAAATACCACAAAAAAAATAGATGTTTTATTAATTATGTTCGTCCTTATAGACTATGGTCACGCTGTGACTCTCGAGTTGAATGTTATTATTGATTTTTGCTTCCTAGACTTAATAAGTAAACCCATTTTTTGCTCTTTTATGGTTTATCTGCGCTAAAAAAAATAGGAGAAAAAACAAAAGAAGGGGCTTAGTGTATATTAAAAAAAAGCGCTGGAATATTTTATTTTAGGGTGGCGTCTTTAAACTCAGAACCCTTCGCATACTAACCCTACGACCTAACTACGAGACCATCGTACGATTGCTATAGTTGGAAATAAAAATCTCTCATAGAAATTTCACTGCATATTCATTTATATTTTTATTGTATTTATATTTTGTGCATTACTATCACTATTAGGTTATATAATTATTATGATATTATTATCGTTATTCTACCGCTGGATACCGATGATTGTTGAAGCCCTGGGGCAGATCTGTTAGCCAAGGGTCAGTTGGTCACTCATCGGTCCAAACGGGCGCCGAGGCTTGGGTCATGTATGTTTGATCGGATATTGACCTAACAGTGAAATGCCCATGGTGCGGTTACCATTGGTAACGATTGGCCCAATATTGAAGCACCAATGCTTGTACACTTGGTCTATTATTGGCCTCACTATGGTATACCGATAATTGGCTTGCCAATGTTGGTCTATACTGTGGTTAACGATTGGCGTTCAATGCATGGATTTTCAAGACTTGGACCAATTTTTTCCCATTATTGGGTTACAATAGTATGATCCAATGATCGACGATTAGTAAAACCCTACTTGGGTAGTTTCACGGCCCTGATATAATAATTGGTTCTCACTTACACTCATCCTCGAATTCCTTAGTGGTTGAAGCGTTTGTTTGCAATTTGCTGTCTCTCGATTAGCATGAGAACAAGTGCCATGTCTTAGGTTCAAAGTGACAAATTCACCAGGTTTTAGAATTAAGCGTTTTTGTTGGCCAGTTAAAATTCGGTGTCCAATGCACTCTTCACAGACGTAATCGCCAAAGGGTAATATCACAACCCACTAATCACGACGCGAAAAACGGTGGCATGTGCTTTGCCGATTATCTGAGCTCGAGATGATCGCGGACTCCAAGCGCGCTTAGTAACTGATTTTGAGTATCAGTCCACGATTATCACTCAAGGAATTTCACGTAAGTTAGACGGGTTAAGGTACACAAAAAAAAAATGTTCCAATTAAAAATTTCTTAATAAATTGGTTAAACAAATTCCAGACATAACATTGTAATATAATAGAAAATTATTTCAATGTTTCTAAAAAAGGTAATCGTTATCTGTATCATGGAAATAGTTTAATAATTTCAACTAAGACTGATTTTTATTTAACTTAAATTTTTATTTAAAATCAATAATATCTCGAGATTGGATTCTGGATTTAGCATTTTTACATTCTTATTAGATTTCCTATTTTTCTTGTACCGATCGGCGGAGTTGAGTGTAAAACCACATAAACTCAATTCAAACTCAATTTTTCAATTTGTTATGAAATCCGAAAAGATTAGGAGAAATTTTTCAACGGAAAATTAATCGAAAAAAAAATTTTTTGTTTCAGAAGTTGCGCAGTGAAAGATTGCCCTCCAAAATCAGACACTGACGAGTGGGAGTTTGCCTCAGGTAATTCTCAGGACTGGGAAAAGACCCAAAAATCCGTATTTCAAATAAATTTTCTCCAAAGATGCATCAAATTCCTTTTCATCCTCATCTTCCTTTTGTTTTTCTACAATTTCCTGAGCACCCCTTTGTGCTTTCATCTCTAGGAAATTCACACTCCACTTCTTCTCTATAAAGCTCCGGGCTGGATAAGACACTTATGGCCCCACTGAATATGCAGAGGCCCGAAGAAACGCGAATTAAAAAAACTAACGATACAGATAAGACAATAATTAAGTGCGAGCAGGAGAAAGGTTAATTGAGAAATGCAACGGCTATTTATCCTGTTATATCCACTGTTACTGTGGCGGTTTGTAGTTTAAATAGAGATAGAGTTCAATGAGTTGTTGGGACTCTCTCAAACTGTCTTAATCACCGTTACTGACGGCGAGAGACACCGATTAATAGCTGCGATTAGAAACGCTTGTGACAGACAACAGATTAATAATCGAACAAACCGTGAAAAAAGTGGTTCGCTCTTATTTCTTAATCCTTGACATTATTCTGATTTTTCGTACGTTTTCATGGTTAAATTTTATAGCTAGAACTAAAAATTTGATTGATGTAAAAGTTACTCGAATAAATTTATTACCTTAATACATGTTCTCCATTTTTAGTTCAAGCTAAAAATCATATTTATTATATTGCTTTGGCATTCAATTGGCTAAGCAAAAATAAAAAATACTTTCCTCGGTGCATAACTTCAAAAGTTGTCTAAAGAAGAAATTCAATAATGACGTTGCGATTGAGGGTTAGTTGCTAGCTATCAGAATGCCAGGATGTCATTCAATAAGTGGCTAAATCGTTTGTAAAAATAAAACTCGTAAAAAACATTTATATTGAGTAATGGGGTTTAAACGATAATTTTGACAAATCGAAAATAAGATTTTTGTCGAATCTCAATATGAAACTATCGATTAATCTAAAAAAAAGTAATAAATTTATTACATCAACACTTTTAACTGTCATTTGCTATTCGATAATTTGTCGGAATGAATTCGTTACTTTTTTTGTATATATGGTTTGTCAAAAAATATGGAAACTTTAGTATTTCCTATTCTGTCACAAATGGTTGCAATAGGCTTTCATAGATAAGATACATTTTAATTTTGAACTGATTTCGTTCTATAAATTATGGTAGTCAATGAACAATTCGCACAAACAAAAATAATCTCGTATTATGATTTTTTCCCTTTACTTTTTTATGGCATGTAAACTTAAATAAATTTGACAGTTTTTCTGCAGTAAACCGTGCTAAATCATTCCAACATTTTTGAGTGATCTAAAAATGTGAAGAACATAAAACTAGCCGTTCACGACTAATAAATTTAGTGGGTTATGACATAAGCGCATAAACCAGTCGTTTTTCTTCTCGTGCAGGTAAGCGAAGACGGAAGCGTGGCAAGGGTGCGGTCACGGGAAACAAGAAGGTCGCAGAGCAAGGCGGAGAAAAACCGTTTGACGAGGCTGCTTGGGAGTAACACTAAAAACAAAACGCCCAAAAGCTGAAAAGCCACATGAAGAAGGATTGTGGATAGCAAGCCAGAATCATACATGTCCATATCCACGATTGTTACACAATCTCAACATTTGATAATCAAAAACACTGTAATTAATTAAGAACGAAATGGATTTTCCCTCCCATTATCCCGTAATCTCGACAGATTTCCCTAACAATTTTCGACCATGTTTCGAGAAGACATATTGTAACAAAATCAAGTGAATATTTCAAGAACGAATGCGAAAATTCAATTACGTAGTTGTATGTATTTCAGATCTTACAGATTCGCTAGTTTTCTTTTTGTCAAAATGGCTCTCCATTTTCTTTCCCTTGACTCTTTATTTTCTTCGTTTTTGATATATTCCCTGAATACACAACATTTTTTATGAGGAAGATCATTGAGTAAACTATATAATTATCAAGAAAAAATGATAAATAAAATGAGTACATTTTATAATACCTCTAGGAAATGAGAGATTTATTTTCGATGAGATGTGAGACTCAATATTATTTTCCCATTGCCTTCACCTTGCCAGAGTTACCTATTGATATGTTTACATTCTTGTTTTGATCAACAGCCTTCTGCATTCCTGTTAGCTCTCTTGACCGTAGTAGTTCAATGATGCTCGCAGTGTCTATACAATTTTATCTTTGAATCAAGAAAACTGGTAATTTATTGAAGGATTGAACTTTCCCAGAGAGCGATAATTTTTCACATTTTTGTTCATTGGAATGGATTGAAAATTAATTAATTAATTGTACATTTGGTGAAAAAGTTTGATTTGGAGATTAATTGATGTGGAGTTGTAACGATTGTGTCATGTTGAGACGAGTTTTGGATCGTCAAAACGAGCGTCGTCGGGCGGTACAAGATGAAGTAATCGAAGGATCTAGCACTCCTCGACGTGGAAGTTATTTGGATCTTCCCAGGATGCGGTTAATAGACAAACAGGCGCAACTCGTGAGTTTCTTTGTTCTATTCAATTGTTGAGGATTGTTGGACACTTTTGGGATTTCTAAGGGCATTGCGTTTATTTATACGGCAAGGCACATGCCGCATAGAAACCCCATCTCTGCCTCAACTTTTTCATGAATTCTTCCCCTCTAAAATCTACAACAGCTTGGAAAAATTGTACATCTCACATTGTAGGAAATAATTGTTTTTCCTTATTTAATTGAAGTACGATTTACGGTTAGGTGAGATTTCAGAAAGTAGATTCTACGTTTGTTGGATTAATAAATTTGGCACAATTTATAATCTCATTAAAGTTGAGTCTCATAAGCAATTTATTACACCTCTCATAACTAGAGATATTTGTTATCACAGGTGTTAAAAAACAATCAATTATTATTGATAGTAAGTGAAAAATCCTGAGTGCATAGCTTGGCTCTTTATTTCTCGGTAGAGAAGCGTAAAGTAAATAAGCCATTATATTTGCAACGGTAAACTGTATTTGTCCGAGTCCGTCGTCTCTTTATTCGAATTTTGGCCGATTACAGCATAGAATTTGAACGATAAACGAATAAAGGACAATTGTGAAATGTTCAGGAACAAAGGAAGATCCTGAGTGTATTTTGCTATTTTCCAATATTGGCTTCTCATTAATTTGTTAGTAGAAGCTTCCTATCGATAAGAGAGGAAAATACTCTCTAAATTAATCCGCCTAAATAAAATGAGAAATGAGTCTCTAATAGATTTTTTCTCGTAATATTTCAAAGGCATACGTTTATGTGCACCAGGTAAAAACATGATTATCTTATCAATATCATGAAATATTGCTTTTTTGTTGGAAGTTGCCTTCTTTCCTTTAAAAATTGAAGATTTTTTTAATGATAAAATTCAACCATAATTTTCTCTCTTCCCACTTATCCACAAATTATTTTCCCTTCCGAATCGATCAGTTTTCTATGGAATATACACTGTAATAACAATATTGCTGTGGGGATGGAAAAGTGTGCGGTAACAAGCGATCGTAAAGGAAGCGTGAGGGAACGTAGATGGGCGGAGAATGGGTTAAAAAACATCCAAAGAGAATAACAACAACAACAATAAAACAAAATCAATAAAAAAATATTTCCCACCTATCTTACTTCCTTTCAAAGAGTCTCACCGGGTGATACAAATCGAGTAATAAATAATAACAATAAGGAGAGTCGATAGACAAGGCGCACTACGCGGTTGTATACTTTCTATCTACAATAGAAGCTGTTGCAGGGCGATAAACTATCGTCCAGTTTAAACGACCAACCAAGTTGAATTGGCTTCGGACGATTGTTTATCGGTCAATTACAAGTAGATCTACCACAGTATTCAACGGTCGCTATTTGACTCATGCATGACGCTGCAACTCTTCATTTCTTCTATCATTCATTTGTCTAACAATCCTATTGAAAAATCTCGAGTAATTTCTCTTCGTTCCTCGAGATTTATGAAACTGTTATCATGCTATATTCAGCTTGTCTGTAAATACAAAAATTCCGATTTTTATTAGCTTCTCGTTGACGTTTAATGACATTTAATGCTCGAACAAATTCAAATGTATTTGGCAATGGACTTTATTTTTGATTAATTTAACACTTTCGTTCGGAGAACATTCCTTTAGCGCTTTTCCTGAAACGTTTAGATAGGTAACTTTCGCCAAGCAGTCAACAAAAGTTTATTATTAAATTAGGAACAATTATCTAGCCGTTTGGAAAAAATTACCTAAAAGTTAGGTACACTTTCTCAAACGATTGGATAACTTTTGCTAAGCAGTGGACAAATTTTACTAAGCGGTACAATAATTTTCCCTGGACGACTAAAACACAGCACGGGTACCAAATGGACAGATAATTTTGACAGACTTTTTCCTTCCATGCATTAGGCTCAGGTAATGAGATGACATGCAGACATTTTCCAGTGTAATTTTTGATTTTCCAACGGGGTACGATAAAAAGACTCAATTTCCTCCATCAATAAATGGTAAATATTTAGACAAGAAGTTGTAATAGACTCCTCATGCGCTTCCCCGATTATAAAATTCCAGTTCTACTTAATAATTGGCTTCTCGGCGAGCTCCACGATGTTTCCAAACGCGTCTACAGCACAACGCCAAGGCTTTCATATTTTACCCGAGATTAATCCCGATGAATTACTGTTTTAAACGCGATAGTGGGCAGTAAAGGCTTGACTTTATGCTCAAGCGTGATGAGAACAAAGAGGGGATACGTATATAGACAATTTTAAATTTCAACTAAACTCGTACCTGTGTATTGCATATAATCGATGAATCTGCGATGAGATTGAGCGCAAAGTTGAGGTGGGGTATGGCGAGACCCCGAAGGGAAACTCAATTAAATCGAATTGCATCGATGCGATGACTCGCGAATTTCACGCCGAGAATTCCATCTGACTAGAATACACTCTTTCCACTGGCAATCAATTTTTTAATCTCATTTTTTTAGCTCCTATTATTTTTCTCTTATTTTCCGTAGCATTTGAAGGGAATTTCTTATTTCCTCTCACCGTATTCAAGACATATATATGTATAAGAGAGTTTTAATCAATGTGCACGTCATGAAAATATAATAAATCCATTTGCCCAGCAATATATATATTATCCACTGATCGAATCCTTAATTGCAAATTATTTATTTAAAAAAGGAAGGTGGCTTGAGGGTAATGAGAGAATAAAAATGAGAGAGGAGGACTGCCAAGGTGTGTTCAGGGTCTTTCACGCTTATCGGAACGTCTTTCCACCGGGCTCGTTAACGGCGCCTCGTAATTGTGCTGGAATGCTACAATGTTTCTTGCTTTATGGTTATTATTTTGTTTGGGGTTGGGAAATGAGGGCTAGGGGCGCTCGGAGTTGTTTCATCGTGTACCTCCCATCATTTCCGGTTAAATTCGCTACTTCATTACCTATCTAATAGTTTACAACACATTTGACTAATAAATTTTTACTATTTTTAGATAGAAGATTGTATCAGTCCGACTAGCAGATTCAATAACCCAAGCTATGATGCTCGTTTTGCCTTAAGTATAAAAGAAATTTCAACAAATGCTACATATATATAGTCATTCCCTCATTTCAAACAAAAATTTCCCAGACATTCACATGAAAAATCGATTTTTTTGTGTTCTTCTTGGATAATTATGGGGAAATATAACTTGAAATTGAAATATTTTTCCCAATATTGCTAGAAACTATTAAAATAGAATCGTTAATTCGAGGATTTAAAGTGGAATTCAGAGTTAATATTCCCTCGTATTATTATCGAGTATACGTATTGATGGAACCGGTCAATTTTCTTCTTCAGGGTAATATAACCCAAGACAACAACATATACTTGAATCTAGTCTACTAATATACTTATTTTATAAATTAAAGTGAGTATATTACTATGTTTATTTAATGTTCATAATGTTAATAATATATGTGCTTAAATTTTCTATGCTAGCAGCCTCGGAAATGAGAAAAATTTCTTATTGCTTTTATTAGCTATTGGAAATAGAGTTTTACTTGGAACAAATATATAAAGAGTAGAAGACGTTAAAAATCTTGAGTTGGTAAAAGATCGGTTGCCGCTAGAGTCGACGAATTAGACATTACTATGCCTGATGACTTGTGGATGCTGCTGGAGTCAACTTGGGACTTAGCAGGCCAGTAGGATTTTCCCAATAGCCACCACAGGACCACTAAGGCCCAAATCAACACCCAGCCCGCCGAACTTCCGTAAACTCGTCCTCACCTTGACTAAAATCCTCAAATTCGCTGCGAATATTCTGCATAAATCCTTTCTCCTACACTACACTTTATTATAAAAATTATTTTTTCTCATTTGACTCTCGAAGCTATTTTCCGTACATAATGTGACCATACTGAACTCTGATTCACATTGGAGATAGCCACCAAAGAAACTGGTCGACTCAAGTTGGCACGATTATGGTATGGTATCGTTTGCGATTATCAGAAGGAGAGTTTCAGGATATTCCCAATGCCGTATACACTCCATGGATATTTTATTGCGCGTGACACAAAACGCACTTACGAGTCTCTCAGACTTAGTATCAAAACCTTTGCTGATGCAAGCATTGCATCTGTAGAGCTGTATATAGCTGTATATAGCTGTATATAGCTGTATATAGCTATATATAGCTGTATGCAGTCTGTGAGGAAACGATGGTACTCTTAGAACTAAATTCTCTACACCAATGACATAAACATAAATGTTAGCGTGGCTATATCTCTATGGAGGGCGATAACGTACTACTGAGGTATAATAAAGAGGTTACAGGTTTATTCTGAAGTGTCGTGGGTAAATCCTTGCTCGATAACTTGAGGGATAAGCTTGAAAATTGAGAAGAGTCGAGGTGTATCAACGGTAGGAGATGGTCTTTACTTGTGTAGTGGAGATGTGGTAGCCATTTCAATTTTTTTTCTTTCAATCATTACTTTTTTATGTTGGATGTAATTTGAGTGGGTATAGCTGATACGAATGGAGTGTGAATTCCGGTATGATAAAAAGAGTTTACTTGGCATTAAAACAAAATTAATCACTTTATGATGTGTGCGCAGGGAATTGTAGGGATTTCAGAAGAATTTCTTGCAGAAATAGCTACGATTCCAAAGCTGCAAAAATCATCTACGTTATACGATCCACTGCTATTTAACAACGACGCATACACGCTTCCTTGAACTTCACAACGTGTTATTTATCTTTTTACCAAACAAAGTATGGTAATGATTTTAGAAAGCATTATTCAACATCTACCAGTCATATGTTTTACCGAATCACAGTAAATCTATTCAGGATGATTGAAGTTATCAAACATGGATTTAGCTTGTGGAGAACATGCCTTTTTCTTACGTATTTTCAATGTAATAGAAGAAATAAATTCCTTGAGAACTTTTCTGTTAATTAAAATAAGGGGACCTTGGAAGGTGTTACCATATGAATTCGAAAGTCTCAAGTTCCGTA